TCTGTAAGCTCTGTATCTCTGAGTATTTTTCTCACTTGAATATCTCGTGTAAAGCACTCTGTTATTCGTATGTTCTGCTCTTATTTTTAATCGTTGGAACTCTTTAGTTCTTAAACTCTTGGCTCCGTAATTTTGTGTTCGGCTCTCTGGCCTGTTCATTCGTTGCCTTCCTATGTTTCAATCTTCATCCTTTTATAACTTGGTTTTGAGAATTCGCCTGTTGGAAAAAGACAATCTCAAATTTGAATTCTTGTATCTTTTGTCAGAGATCTTATCTTATCTTCTGGCAATGTTTCTGAAAGATATTCTAGCCGTTTGAGCTCCAAGTTCATGTGAACCTCTGGGAATTCTAGAGCTTCAGTTTCACGAAAAATGGCTTCTCCAATTTTCTGTAATGTAGTTCACGGGTTTCTGGGATTAATCAGAATTGTAATCTGACTTCAAACTGCAAAATCTCATCTCTGCCCAATTTTCCCATACTTCAACTCGTTGACTATTTCTCCTTGGCCAAACCACCCCCAAACTTCTCCTGGTTTATTTAATGATGATGAGATTTGGGCATTAGACATTGTGTATAATATTTCAGGCATCTTCCAATCTGTCCGTACGATCATTTGGTGATATCTCCAATCTTCTTTAATATACTCATTTCTTTCCATTGATGCTTGATCTTCAAGTCAAATTCATGCAATCTTCCGATCACGTTCTTCTTCATAGAATTTTCTTCTTGGAACTCTTCTTGAGTATGGTATTCGGGTGAAGTTCATAATATACATATCATATGCATACATCTTCTTCTGTTTGCCATTTTCACCAGACAAATTCTTGATTTTAGGATTGATATCTTCTTTTTCCATTTTCATACATCTTCCTATTCTGTTTTTCTCTTTTAATTCTATTTAATAATTTCCTGGTCTTGGTCAAAGAAACAATTAGACCTAGACGAATAAAATTTGGGTTTCTACAAAATTACAATTTGGCATATCAAAATCTATTACAATTTATTCCTAACACTTTGTTTAGCCGAACCACTATAAAAACCTCTCTCTCTCTCTCTCTCTCTCTCTCTCTCTCCCTCTCTCTCTCTCTCTCTCTCTCTCTCTCTCTCTCTCTCTCTCTCTCTCTCCCCCTCTCTCTCTCTCTCTCTCTCTCTCTCTCTCTCTCTACTTTATTGCTTATGTTTTTTTTCATACTTTCTCATGATTAAATCTTAATAATTTAAGAAGAACAAAATACGTGCAAATCGTTGTACATCTTAATAAATTTTCAGTATGCATTCTCTATGAAATGTTTAAGTAACCTCCTGGAATGCTTGAATGAGTCGTTAAAATTTTCAAATTAAACATGTCTATTCATTTGCATTTCAAAATCAAAATCATTTTAAATTGCATGTAAATTTTTCTTTAAAATATGGATCATTATGCATCTAAGAACTTATGTTCAATCTTAATAAATTTGACAACTGAAAGGTACACATGCAGGTGCACCTTTCGGCCTTGCACGATGAGATGTGGGACGTCATCACCGAGGGGTCATTCCAAATAATGATTGTAAATGAAAATGCGGCTGCACAAGGACCCGATGCACCCGAATACATTCCAAAGCCGAGACGTGCTTGTACATCTGAGGACAGGACGAGAAATAACCTTAACACATTAGGATTAAGGATTAATTCTATTGCCTTTGTAGAAAAATAACAAAACATTGCAAATTTCAGGGCATTCCGCGACAGTTTGGTAGATTGATCATATCTTGAGCTAGGAGTGTCCAAATCAGGTGATTCCAGTGACCATGGTTCGACAACTTCAAGGGATACAACTTTGGTGAAGGCAAGAAAGTCAAATTCGCAACAACGCGACTCACAACTTGCGTTGTAAGCGCGTTGTCGGGAAGGCCGAAAGAACAACGAAATTCACAACGTGAGTTGTGAATTAGTTGAGATGCCCAGCGCAGAAAATTCAAATTTTTAGCCTATTTAAAGGCTTGGAAGGGAATCACTTAGACAACCACTCTTTTTCCCATTCTTTTACCTTTCAATTTAGCACTCTTATATTAGGTTAGATTAAGGTTTATCTTTTCTTTTCATTTTCTTAAGACTAGATCTACTTTCCTTTCTACAATTCATTATTCAACATTGCTATTGGATTACAAGCATCAAGATTGAATACTTGGGTAACCACTCTTCCTTTTTCATATTTCGTATCTAATTTATGCTTTATAATCTTATTAATGATGATGAATTACTAGATTTCTAGGATTTGGATTGGTGTTGGATTGTGTTTGTGTTCTTATGCTTTGAATGTATGAATGATGAGATTGGTTGTATGTTGTGGCCTTGTATGCCTTTGTTGTAGAGGAGTGCATATTGATCTCTTTCCATTGAGGTACCCAATGGTTAGATGAGTGTGAGAGTGGGAGTTTATCAAGAGATTGCACTCTCTTTAGTCTTGCCCTTGCAATCCCCTTTCTACGACCCGAGAGGGCGAGCTTAGGGAAAGAGACGGTAGACCATCCACCAAGTGTTTGATAGAATGCCTCACTCGACGTAGGGAATGAGAGTTTAGGTTTGACGCAACCTAATGTTGGTGCCTTAGGTCTCCCTTGGTTAGCCAAGCCATATACCCACTCTTGTCTACTTAAGATCAATGAGTGCACAAACCACAATCCCAATTCCATCCAAATCCCCGTTTTACTTGTTTTTATTTGTTTCCTTTATTTTCCTTCCCTTTCTTATGTTTCTCACTTCCACATAACTACCAACACCCCCCCACCTTGCACATTGTTCATCCATTGATGCATTGTGCTAAAGGATTGTCTTGCATTTCACTTACTCCGACTTGCCGTCCTTGAGTTTGACACTCGGGGGTTTCACAACCTTCGTTTACACTCTTTCACCACACACCTTCCACCACTAGTACGAAAAACCAATCATCAGTGTGGGAGTAAGAAAGACCATCCAGCGAAGGTGTTATGGTATTTACTAGTAATTGTTAGGAACATTTGTATTTTAGATTTTGATGATACCAAAAGTTAAGAATTTTAGTCTCCAAATTAGTTTATATTTTAGACTTAGGAAATTTCTTTTCTATTTCGGATAAGTCCGAATGATTAATCCGAAAGGTTACGTTTCGAATAGTCAAGTCAATTAGAATGGTAACCCGAATGGTTACATTTCAAAAAACCAGGGAGAAACTTCGAAGGGTTGAAGATCATAAGAGTTGAAGAGTTATGGTTCATTATGCAAGGGCTAACAGTGTACCAATGAACCAGAGGCACAAGCGGAGATGTAAACAAATATATGAGCTGGCAAAGCTAGAACAAACTATTAGTATATGGTTTTATCCTATGAAGCTTAAGATAGATAGAGTTAATTCCATCAATGGTCCTCCGACTATTTCGATTTTCCAAAATTAGTCCTCGACTTTTAATTTGGTCGAAAAAGACACTTGACTTTCTAATTTGTTTCACCAAAGGTCCTTCTGTTACCCATCCGTTTCTTGGTCGTTAATTTAGGGGGCAAATTTGTCTTTTCATTATATTGCTTTCTTCTTCCTCATCGGAGAGAGAGAGAGAGAGAGAGAGAGAGAGAGAGAAGAGGGACCTGGCTAAACTTGGTCTGAAGCTGGGAGTTAACCTCATCGAAGGCACGTCGGAGTGAAGCGAACACCTTCCGAACCTCAACGGAGACGAGAAACCTCGCCATTCCTTCCCAATCGATTGTCTTGCCGACCTTGAACGTAACGTCGGCAATTTTCTTCGCTATTCCGCTCATTTTCTCAATCATATTTTGGGGTGGACGTATGACTACCGAGCAGAAACCCGACGCCATACAAAATCCAGTGACTTAATGTATGTATAAAAGTTTAATGACATATTTCACTTTTTCTATTATTTAATACTCCGTAGTATAATTAGCATGTATAGTACCTTAATACAAGTTTAAAATCCAACAAAAACACCTGCCTTGAACTAGCTTTTCCCTCTTCCGTATCCAATCTCAAATGTTTTGTTCTAAATTTGGGATCCCATTCTTGTAAGGGTGTGTTTGGTTCATGGATTTACACATTAGGAATGGAAATCAAAATCATAGTTGTGTTTGGTTGACAACTTTTTAAAACACAACTATGAGGTTTGATTATTCTTTCAATTAAAAACTCTATTTCATAATTAAAAACCGTTATCATTCCATTTTATTGGTGATTTGATTTAAAAGTTTGGATTAGTGCTTTTAGATTTTTGTTTTGATTTTTTTTTTTCATATTGGTGCTTTGGGTGTCATATATTAAGATTAATTGCCTTAATTTTTTTATTTTTATATTTTTAAAACATTTATTCTTATTATAGGTTCACACATAACGAAACATCAATATTAGTTATAATTCCAATTCTACCTTACCACCAAACATGCAAAATACTTTCACCAAAATCATTACCATTACTAAGTATTTAATTCTCACTAATTACGATTTCCTTGTATGAAGAACTAAACACACCCTAATACTCTCCGACGAGTTAATGATTCGAAATTGAAACTCTTTGGTTGTAACTTGATTAAAACATATGCCACATGTTTGCCCAGATTTCTTGAGTTCTCATCATTAGATACAGGCATCAAACAAGTTGAGAAAGATGATCCTAAAACACTAGCACATTACAGTCTTGATGAAGATGGAACTATGATCCAATATCAAATGGAAACTGAGTGTAGCATCTCTGTATTGAAGAATGAAGAGTGTTCTTACAATTGATAGAAAGCTAAAAGAATGAATACTAAAACTGATTAATACAACCGAGAAGAAGCTATATATCAAGGCTATGTGAAATTACAAGAAAAGCTCCTAACTATTCTTTAACAGATTTAACTTCTTTTGGTTTGCGATCTCCTCTTGCTTTTGTAAGCCCAACTTAGATATGAAACTGTGGAACTGAGCATGAGGTAGAGATTTAGTGAACCCATTTGCAACTTGGTTAAGTGAGGTTACTGACAGAAGCTTTACCACTCATTTGTTTACCATTTCTCGTACAACGTGGAAGTCTATCTCTATATGCTTGGTCCTCTCATGAAAAACATGATTTTCCGCAATTCCCACTGTTGACTTGTTATCACAGTATAAAGTGGTTGGTTTGCATAGCTTGATTTGTAAGTCCTGTAAAAGGTATTTCAGCGATTGGATTTCACAGACTGTGGCAGCCAAGGCCCTATATTCAGCTTCTGATGAAGACCTAGACACTGTGGGTTGCTTTTTGGATTTCCAGGATATGAGTGACTCCCCCAAGAAAACACAATATCCTGTAATAGATTTTCTGGATTCAGGACATGTTGCCCAATCTAAGTCTGAAAAAACCTGTAGATGTAGAGATGATTGTGAGGAGTATGAGATCCCTTTCCAGGAGCTGCTTTGAGGTATCGCAGAACTCTGTGTGCTGTTGCCATATGCTTCTCTGTAGGAGTATCAATAAACTGACTCAATTGTTTCACAGCAAACCCTATGTCAGGTCTTGTAGCTGGCAATAAAAGTAGCCTCCCAACCAACCTCCTATAAAAGCTAGCATCTTTCACAAGAACCGCATCATTATGTATTAAGTGCTGATCTGGAACCATTGGAGTGCTGACTGGCTTACATTCAAGAAATCCATTCTCCTCAAAGATATCCAAGGTGTACTTCTTTTGACAAAGATTTAATATGTCATCATTCCGGAGGACTTCTATTCCTAGAAAGTATCCCAAAGACCCTAGGTCTTTTATTTTGAATGTGCTGTCTAGGAACTTCATCAAATCTAGTATTGATGTCACGTCATTGCTGGCTACCAAGATATCATCAACATAGATGAGAAAGGCCATAAAGCTGCTGCCAGTTCTAGTAAAAAGGGATGGATCAGATCTAGACTGCACAAACCCAATGGTTTGTAAAGCTGAAGTTAATTTGGCATTCCATTGCCTACTTGCCTGTTTGAGGCCATATAATGATCTGATCAGCTTGCAAACCTGGTTTGGTTTGTTATTTTGAAAGCTAGGGGGTAGAGTCATGTATATCTCTTATTCTAGATCACCATGTAGAAAGGCATTATTGATATCTAGTTGATGAACATACCATCCTTTGATCATAGCAACTGCTAGGAAGGTCATGATTGTTGTCATCCTAGCTACGGGGGAAAATGTCTCAATGTAATCAACTCCCAACTGTTGTGTATATCCTTTGGCAACCAACCTTGCCTTGTATCTTTTTAGAGATCCATCTGCTTTCAGTTTAGCTTTGTAGACCCACTTGCAACCTATAGGACTTTTCCCAGGTGGCAGCTCAGTGAGTACCCAAGTGTTATTGTTGGCTTGGAGAGCTTGATTTTCAACTTGCATGGTCTGCTTCTAGCATTCATGTTTGATAACCTGATTATAGGTTTTGGGTTCAGGGATGGAAGATACTGCAGTAGCAAAAACTTTATGTGTTGTGGATAACAGACTATAGGATACCACCTTGGAGATAGAGTGTGGTGAGGTCTTGTTGCTTATCACATTATCACAGTAATAATCATGTAGTTTTGTAGGGATACACCTTGTTATGACAAACCTTTTAGGTTGTGCTGAAATCTCCAATGAACCAATGTCTGCTAAATCAAGACCATTATATGTTGACTTCCATACTGAATCAATGTCTGTTGGGTCAGATTGAGCTGATATTTCATGTGAACCAGTATGTGTTGGGTTCTCATTTGAACTGATATGTGTTGGCTGATGCTGGGCTGAGATCTCAGGTGGAGTAGTGCCTGCTGTTGGCACCCAAATATCAAGACCAACATCTGCTCCAGAGGTTGGTAATGTAGGTAAGGATGGGTTGAAGTCTTCTGTGATCTGCTCAACTCCATTCCTATGAATATGATCTGTCTTGAAAGGGAAACATTCTTCATAAAACTTCACATCCCTGGAAATGAAAAGAGAATAATCATTTAGATCACATAGGATATATCCAATATCCTTTGATATTTGCTGGTAGTCCCACAAAGATGCATTTCCTACTCCTTGGTGTCGTTTTGTGTCTTGAATGTGAGCTGGTAGAAGCATAACATAAACATCTCAATACTTTGAGACTATTAAAGTCAGGTTGTGACACCCCGAAACCCAAATTCAATTAAGGAATTAATTAAATAATTAATCCTATTTCAATTGGTAATTTAATTCCTTAAATTCCTGAAAATTCAATAGTTGGGGACTAGTAATTGACTAGTCAACCCCAAAGTCAAAGTTGTACCTTGAGCTTTGTAAGGAGTTCCCTTGTTTCCTTACACCCCTTCATGTTAGTAAGGGTATTCTTGACTTTTCACCTTGTGTTAGTAATGTAAGCTAACCTAGTAGAACACCCTCATTTCTCTCCTTACACTTTCCAAATTCTAGCTCCACCTCCTATTTAAAAAGGTGGATAGCTTTTCTTCCAAGCCAAGTTGAAGCTTTGTCAAAACTTCAAGAGTTGTCTCCAAGATTCTACCTTTCATACATTTGGGCATCTAGGAGAGTCAGATCTATGTTCATCTTGTGTTTTTAGTGTTTTCTTAGGTGTCTTTTCTTAAAGATAGAATCTTTATGATCTTTTGGTGTGTTCTTGAAGTGGGTTTGGAAGGTGAGCTTTGTTAGGAGCTTGGTGAGGTGTTAAGTGAAGGTTTTTGTCTACAAGAGGTAACCCAATGTAACACCCCCCCAAACATGACCTATATAAAAAGGCCTTAACACATGCAGATCATACAACAACACACAAGCACAGCGGAAGATAAAACGATAACTGGATAAAAGGAATCCAAACGGGGTGTTATGCCACGTCTACCAACCACGGTAAACGCTACGGCGGTCAAATCTGCAATGTGTATACATCTATCCCAAAGACATCAGTCTAAAACTACATTGGCACACAGGCCACAAAACAAGGATAAAGGTACTAAGCTACCGGCCACTAGACATCGCGTTCGTCTAGACATCACCAGAAAGAACACAAAGATAAACAATGGGATGACGCCGGGTCAGCGATAATGCTGGTAACCCACCAATACCGTTAAGTATCATACATAGATATGGTATATATACAAAATCCATTTTTTGAAACGGAATACATATATATAAGTCAAAACCAAGATCAATAGCCAACATAAAACCCAACACTCTCAACAAACAACACGGGAACACATCCCAAGACCACAAGAACAAAACGACTCACAAAAGAGTCAAGGCATGATCTATCATCACTCAATAGATAAAAACCCGACAAGCACAACGCCAAAGAATAAGACTTACACACCCGGAAACACATGCCAAGGCAACACATGCCTCCGTGACTACACACGTCACAAGAGATGAACACACAACACCGGCTACAATAGCCCTCACAACATCACCCATCACGAGTTGGTATGCCTGCCTTATGCCCTATTCCAACCTTATGGCCACCCCCAACCTTGTTTCTTCTTTCCAACCATTACCTCCAGGACACCTGTACTTCTTAGTCCAACATTTTCCCTCCGGGACCGTCGTCCCCCACTAACGACCACCAACGAGACCACCAATTTCATAGTACACGAGGTACCGTACATACACACGGCAACACATTCCTTCCCAAGAAATACGTGGACCCATCACTCAGGCCACAACTCCATAATCACGTCACGGCCACCATGAGGACCGCTGCAATACCTTGGTGACTAGTGTCCCATACCACTAATCGTGCAATCCAGGTAAAGCCACACACACCACACCTCAACAGGAATCAATCAATGGATTACAACGAAGGTATGAAACATACTCAATCAAGGAATGGATCACAGTCCAACAACAACAACCATGAATAACACAAGTTATCATCAACCACTCGGAAGGTACAAACAACACACATGCTAGCATTTAGACACCAAACTAGCATGCTTATCAACGGGGAAACCAAAGATAGTTCCGAGGAACTCACAAGACACATCACGGTTTAACGAAACACAATGTTTAACACTTAGCCCGATTCAAGACACCAAAGTCCTACATGGATACCTACCATATAGTTCTAGACATACGAAACATCAAGAAGACACTCAAATAGTTCTACAAAAGAATAACGGGAAGTTAAAAGACCAAATACCGAGTCAAAAGGATCACGGGGAACAAATCCCCCAACAACCACAACATGTACCCCGCGGGTGGACCCACGGGTAGGCCCCTGACCATGCCTACCCGTGGTCCTGCCCGCGGGTACCAACACCAACAAGCCACGTTCCCGCGGGTGGGGCGGCGGGTAGGGCTCTGCCCGCCGTTCCGCCCGCGGGTACATCCCTGTGCCCAAAATAATCCCTTCGGGTATTTTCAACTCCAAGCTCAAATTCATGTCCAAAACATGCCAAATCTCACCCAATACAACAAAATGACTTGAATCATAGGAAATGCCAAGCAATGGCACACAAGAACCCTAAACACAAGCTCTAGATATGCATTTTCACAAGACAAATGCATAAACACTCACATTTCATAGCAAAACACATGTAGAATCAAAGAAATCACATATCGGTAAGAAAAATAGATTTTGTAGAGCATGGGTTACCTCTTGTAGACTAAAAGACTTCACTTTACACCTCAACAAGCTCTCCACAAGGCTCACATTCCAAATCCACTTCAAGAACAAACCAAAAGATCATAAAGATCCTACTTTTAAGAAAAAGACATCTAAGATGGAACCAAAAACACAAGATGGACTTAGATCTTACCCTCCTAGATGCCCAAATAGGTGAAAGGTTGAATCTTGGAAGCACATCTTGAAGTCTTGGCAAGGTGTCAACTTATCTTGAAGGAAAAGCTACTCACCTTTCTAGAGAGAAGGTAGAGCTAATATTTTAGAAAGTGTAAGGGGTGAAATGAAGATGCCTTCTAGGTTAGGTTACAATACTAACACTTGGTGAAAGGTCAAGAATACCCTTACTAACTTTAGAAAGTGTAAGGAACAAGGGAACCCCCTTCAAAGCTCAAGGTACAACTTGACTTTGGAGTTGACTAGTCAAATACTAGTCCCCAACTATTAAATTTCAGGATTTCAAAATTTAATTATTCAATTGAAATAGGATTAATTACTCAATTAATCCCTGAATCAAATTTGGATTTTTGGGGTGTCACATCCTCTCCCCCTTCAAAGAAGCTTCGTCCCCGAAGCTTGGGTACGACGAATTAAAACAAACGGTGATAGGAACAACATTGTGACAAGAGGTTCAATAATAAACTCTTTGGTTAAAACTCAAAAGGTTTCACAAGAATTCAAAACAAGAGGGAAGGCTTATATCAAATCAAGAATTGGAAAGAGTTTACAAAGGTTGAATTGAGCATCACGAACTCTAGATTTAACTCCCACACCGACTGCTAGAGAACAACCAAGAACTAGACAACCAACTCCAAACACCAACTTCTAAGCTAGCTAACAACAAGGCAACAAGCAAAGCAAGCACACACACAAGGCAAACAACAAAACTACCACCAAGCTAACAACGGCAAAAAGGAAACGGGATTACCACAACACTAGCTAGAACTCTTCACTCTCCGACTCCTCGGCCTCTTCAGACTCCTCAGCCTTCTCAGACTCCTCCTCATCTTTGTCTTTGCGGCTCAAACTGGCCTCAACCTGGTCTAGCCTTTGATGCACGGCAACGAACTGTGTCTTTATAAAGCGAAACCCTCCTCGATCAAACGGTTCTGCTGGCGAAGCAAGACGATAACGCGCTCCTCGTGCACCATGGCATCATGCTCCCTCTTCGTGTGGGCTTCCTTTCTTCGTCGGTTCTCTTCACTATCCGAATCACTTTCATCAGCTTTGGCAGCTTCCGGTGCTCCCACCACATCCTCACGATCGACTTCATCCTCGGATTCCTCATCACCTCCCAAACTCTGAACGGCGAGGCTCAACTTCCCTGCATGAATGCCCTGCCAACTCGGCCCTTTCTTCGGGTGCTTTCCTTGCAACTTCCTCCAGCGCGATGTACTCACCATCATCCATCTGAAACAGATTACAACTCCGAAGGTTGGCGGCATCTAACACCATCTTTCCCACAGCTTTCGGGAGACAACCATCCACACTGACACCCTTCCTAACCAAGATCCAACTCAACACCATCCCGTACGGTAAGCTCTTCCGATTGTGATCCCAGCAAAACACCATGTGTTGCAACATCAAAGCTGGCAAGTTGAACTTAACCATATTCTTGAGACAAAAGGCAAAGGTGCACTCCAACTTTCCCAACAAACTGCTTTTGTTGTTATTAGGCAACAAACAATCTGATACCAACATTACCAAAATCCTTTGCTCCGCAGACAACCACTTCTTCTCCGGCCTAGAGGCTTGAGTGAAACCACTC